TGGTCCCCATGGGCCCCACTTTCCATTGACTATAAACAAAACATTATATTCATGTATAATTGAGAATGGTGGGTAAAACATGTCCGATGATAGGGCAATGTTGCTGGACAGTACACTTTACCTGGACATGGCTTGTTTTGGTTGCATTTCCTGGATTGTTTCTTTGGTCCTGAGCAAGGTTTTCCTCCATGAGCTGGTTTAGGTTTGTTACATTGTCTTGATCGAGATTGCGTTCCAGACTTACATGACTTTGAGCACTTGGAATATGGTCCCCATGGGCCCCACTTTCCATTGACTATAAACCGAAACATTATATTCATGTATAATTGAGAATGGTGGGTAAAACATGTCCGATGATAGGGCAATGTTGCTGGATAGTACACTTACCTGGACATGGCTTGTTTTGGTTGCATTTCCTGGATTGTTTTGATGGTCCTTTACAGSCTTTAGCTCCTGGTGTTGGAGCGGGATTGTTACATTTTCTTGAACGAGATTGCCTTCCGTATTTACAMGACTTTGTGCACTTGCTCCATCGTCCCCATGGGCTCCATTTTCCATTGACTATAAAAWTAAAACATAAAAAGGCGAGATGAAAACATCTTCTTCCAGGTTTTAGAATCAGCAGTTTACTGGAACGTGAGCGAGTGAATGAAACTCACTTGCAATTTAAATCTTTCGAAACACATGAGACAACAAAACTTACCATCGTTGTCTTTGATCCTGACAGTAAACTTTCCTGTACCAATCACCACCCTTTTGTCGTTGGTGCGGGAGAGAACAAGTGTGAAGAACTCAATGTTTGGTTTCTCATCGACTTTATCATCGATTATTGTGACAGTAACTGTTTTGAAGCTGTCTTTTGGTCCAAAGYAGAGTTTAGTAGGGTTAACTTTGACATAATCTGCATTTGGTGCTTTACTTGTGGCAGTTCCATCAACAGACCTTACACTGAAAGGCAATGCAATCGAGAGAAGGAAATATGACTATTAATCTAACATACAAGGCAAATTTCTTTAATCATAGTTAACCATAAAACTATAGAACAGAAAAGAAGACAATTATCTTAATAGAACAGTAATACCAACGCTGATTATATCGATTAATCAAAATTGGAATCGACTTTGCCTTGTTCATGTGGTTTTTATTTCTTCGCATACCACGAAATTAGTTCGGCAAGAGAAACAAMCTCTTATACAGCGTTAAGAAATCCATGATACACAAATTTCCACTCGTGCACTGACAACTTTAAGTCAGGAAACTAAATTAGGTTGTTGACATAATTTATGTTCTTAATTGTTCGATTCTTATGTTTCATACCTTACAGAATGTTTGAGTGTGGATGCTCCAGATCTCGTGACCTTAACTGTGAACTTCTTGACATTTTCTCMGAGAGTTCGACTAGCTGGTTTAGGGAATCCAATTCTTACTGTATGAAAAATCAAAATCAAAATAACATTACAAGAACAGTAGTAGGTGCAAACATTACTGATTGATAAGATGGATCATACATAGGGGAGGAGGCCAAGACGCGACGTTGCAAGGTTTCCTTTTTTGGATTTGGAATGGGTTATATACTTTGTATTTTKCTCTTTTTTGGTTAAAACTGAATGAATTACCAGTGAAATACTATCCATTGTGTTGGATGAATGTCAATATTGAACTGTGTCAGATCTTGAGGGGATCCCATGTTTAAACAAAACCTCATGGCTTATTTTTCAAGGATTCCTACAATTGTTTCTTGAATCTAGGATCTTACCGACATCATTATCGATGATGATGACTTTTGTGTTCTTAAATTTMATTGCTGAAACAGCAGGTGATTTTCCGGACAGTTTAATGCGGAAGAATTCAGCTTTTTCAACCAATTTATCATTTTTAATGGAGATGACTACAGACTGGACTTTCACTTTTGCTGGAAATACCACATTGCGATCAACTGGACCACGGTCTGATTTACCAGCAGAACCTCCTGGTAGCAGCGAAATCCTTGTAACAACAAACAAAGTGTTTAGAAATAATCAATACAAAGTTCTTAAGACCCGTTCTTTCTCAAGTGTGCCAAAGGATCCCGCCCGGGCAAAGGATGGCGCTTATCCTCGTTTGAGAATGAGAATTAACAAGCAAAGAGCAAAGGTATGTACGGAGCCTAAACGAACAGCGCTGAGCAACTGCATGGTCAAAACCCTCCGTTCTGGTGGTTATTTACTTTTTTTAACCAGTCCGTGCATATTTCAATCGTGAAAAGTATCCTTTACGATCACTTAAAATCATCATRGTTAAGGAGAAAATTACAGTTATTTAGTACTACTTCTGCCTTTGTKTCGTTTGACTAAACGACCTTTGGTAACAAAATACAATGTAAGCATCCTATAATATCAGAGTCAAGTTCAGTGCCACCTTCGAGATATGAATCCGGTTAATGACAAGGTGACACCTCACCATAAGGAAGACCCCCATCCCCCATCCCCGACCAATGACATTATCATATGACATGYAAATAAAAGTCACTTACCGAGCAACAATCTTCCGGGATAGATCTCCACTTCGTCGAATTCGGATYACAACCTTTCCAGCCTTTTCGTTTACCTTGTACAATGGTCTTTCAAATCCAACGTATGCTGAAAATTCATTGATYAAGTTAGAATCAATCACGTTTTCTCTATTTTTAACTACTTGTACTCGCACACCGAGACTTCGTTAATTTCTTGCAATATAATGACCTTTTCTCATAATAAATCGAGAATAGTCASAATAGTCGCATTTTCCGACACATTGGAATCTAGGAAATGCTTATCGTTCACATAAAAATCAAGAGTACTATACATACCTGGGCATTTCCTGACATTGCATCGTCGTCTCTTGCTTGCTGGTCCTTTGCAGGGCTTCCCTCCGTACTGTGGTTTAGGCCTGTTACATTTTCTGTAGCATGTCTGGTATCCGCCTCCGCATGACTTACTGCAAGGRCCGTATGCACCATAAGGGCCATAGCCACCATTAACTAAAACAGTAGATTTGAACAATTAATGGTTGGTATATGAGTGTATGGGAGTAGAAAAATTACTCGTAACTATACTCCAAAATGTTTTATTTTCTTTTTTTTAAAGCTGTAGTCGGGACGCGAGAGTTTCTGAGTTGAACGTTTCGCGTTTCAAATAACGAGATTCTTTTGAAATATATCGGGAACAGTTGCTTTTCCTGAGACACTGGAATCTAGGATAACTGCATACCTGGGCATTTCCTGACATTGCATCGTCGTCTCTTGCTTGCTGGTCCTTGGCAGGACTTCCCTCCGTACTGTGGTTTTGGCCTGTTACATTTTCTGTAGCATGTCTGGTATCCGCCTCCACATGACTTACTGCAAGGCCCGTATGCACCATAAGGGCCATAGCCACCATTGACTAGAACAGTAGATTTGAACAATTAATGGTATGAATAAATGGATGGGAGTGGAAAGATGAATGAAAATTAGCACGAAAAAAGAGACTTACCAGGGCAGTTTTTGCTGCAGTTTTCAATCTGCTTTGATTTCCCATAAGCYCATCGAGATCCATAGGGCAAGCAAGCTCGAGTACGCCACCTCTTCCCGTGGCACCTTTTAGTGCATTCACACCATTTACTCCAGGGTCCCCATCCTTAAAAAAAATTAAAATAACTRATATGTATATATTTTAACTGTTATTGAGATTCTCTCATGATTCSCTCATTTTTCATTGTGCTGCGTAGTACTGCAATTGAACCTTTGAAGACGGGCTATAATTTATGAATGCAATAATTTACTAGAGAAAAAGGAGTGCAAACTATTGTGAACTTATGCGTAATGGACACTAATAGCTCCTGCGCACTTTCCTTTTATGCTCTCCTGTCTTATCCTCCTACTTTTCTAAATGGCTTTTCATGGTCCTTTGAAWTTTCAAATCTCAGCCCCTGACCCTTTACTATGTACTCTAATCCTCGGTCTTTGATAAACAATTGCGTCTTGAACASATAAGTAATTGCGGTTAACTGCGGTTAAATTAAGATAACTTACTGCCTGGCGGCGGAGCCTGCGTGTAGTACGCAGCTTGTGTAACTGTGATATACGCACACGCAAGGGTGAGAGACGCAAGCAGAACGTTGATCACCGTCATCTTGACTCTTCTCGATACGGGAAAGCTCAAGGTGTAAACTACACAACTTGCTTCGTCCCTTTTATACCTACTGGTGTCGTCACACAAGCCTATATTGTTACCATGGCAATTACAAAGTTCCTATTACCATGGAAACAACACAGATGTGGGGAGGTTGCTATGTAACAAAGAATTTTTTCGGTTTTAATACTGTAATCTCTCATTGCCTAAGATAAATTGTTTAACCAAGATTTAGGAAAATTAATAAAATGTTGCAATCTTATAAATGATTAGCGTCTAACAGACATAAAAACGTAATTTGGAAACGCTTGGATAGSATCATATTTTCAGAGGGCATACCTTAATGACAGGAAATTTCAGAATTTTGCAATTAATGTTATTTAGCGCGATGTTGCAAAACGCCGATAAAAAAAGTAGTGGTTGTTATCAAATCGTTACAACTAAATATTTATGCACGTGTCAATAAACGTGTCGTCATGTTTGCTACCATCCAATAAGGCCATTTTCGAATTCAAAGTGAATATCGCTGTTTTATTTGACAACAGATTCTTTGCGCAAAGACACTTGACCAAACACATAAGAAAGCATGAAAAATTGTCGTTATCAAAATTTGCATTTTTCCAAATTGAGATCAGCCCTGTATTCCCATAACACGCAAGGTTTAAGCCATTTGGGATCACAGGGTTTGCTTAAACTCGGGGYAAAAATGCAAATTGTAAGGCTATTGTAATTGAAAGATTTTCGAAATTTTCTCGTTTTTTCATTTAGTGTGTTTGTCCTTAAGTCTTTGCGCAAGAGAATCTGCTGCTAAAAAACAGCGGTTATTCGCTTTGAATTTGAAAAGACGTTGGAATTAGAGTGAAATAGATATTACACTTCATTACATCTTAGTGCACTCCAATTGTATTGTTGCTTTTCACAGGGACATTGATATTGATGTATTATTTGAACATATTTTTTTCGAATTAGTACTTTTTTCACGGGTTTATCTTTAAATATGTTGCTGTGGTCTAATACCAATGGCATGTACTTCATCAAAATGTGTTAAGAATGAAAAACTACTTGATCTATTCAAATCACTAGGTAACACGAGTCACGTAAAATCAATAATAATGATTCTAATAATAATATAATTTTTTAGGCAGAATCTTTCTACATTTGAGCAATTTTTGTATTATAATATTCAAAAGTGGGTCTTATTTATTATTATCATAATATGTATATATGATATATATCCGATTGAATAAA